GAATACAAGAAAAAGGGAAAAAATTAAAAGAATTCAAAATCAATAAAAATTTGAATAAGTAGCACTTTTTTAAATATATATTCTATATTAATTAAAATCTTTTCTAAAAAAGTATAAGATCATGGCTTCTACAAATGAATCTTGTAAACAAACTATAATCTTTCATATTTGTAATACAATTTGTTGAATGAAATTTAGCTCTTAAATTATTATTTTATAGTATATATATAAAAATAAATAATAAAAAATATATGTAGACGGGTCGGCTATCCATGAGTTTTTAATTATGTAATCCTAACTCGCCCCATATCTAAGCTAGTACTCAACCCTCTTTTAACTTGATCAAATAATATGAATTGGATATCCTAATTTTTGGATCAGATCAAATCGGATATGGTGGATTTTTAGGTTAGCGGGTATTTTTAGCCCACAGTTAACTATCCTAAATAAAGAACATGAAATATAAAAGGGATAATTTCAGAAACCTCCCCTGAGGTTTCATGAAATATCATTTAGCTCCCTTGAGATTTTCAAAATCTCACTTGGCACCCCTTAAATTGACATTTTGGTATCATTGTCACCCTTCTAACCAAAAGTAATATTAAAAAAATTCATGTTTGAGGAGAGAGATTATTTTAGTGCCTTTAATACCCTTAGGCTATAGAAAAATGAACATTTTACAAACCAAGGGAAAAAAGTACTAAATTGGAACCATCTTAAAAGTGAGGAGATGAAAATTGATAAGATTTTATGTTACAACCAATAGTCATTTCTATAGTAGAGAGAGACAGTAAAAGCAAATATTTTTTAAACCATTTCTATAAATAAAATCCTCCATAACATTGAAGGCAATTAGCATGTAAAAATCATACATTTGAGCCAAAAAAACTCAGCAATAGATGAAATTCAACTTAATATCATACAAAGAATTTACTCAAAATAGACTGACCTTTTTTATGGGTATGAAATATGAAAATTTTATTATAAAAAACTCAAAATTTGAAAACTGCAGTTTGGAGTTTTAGTTACTTTATTTCTCTGCGTTCTACATGAATAGGAACAAATAACTAAATAAATAAATAAAGTTGTGAAACACAAAAAAAAGGGAAAAAAAACAACCTGCAACTATTTTTTTTCCAAATACGCTGAATATTTCATTGATTAAATCCTATATTTCATTGACATTTAGAGAAAGAAAAACAAGTTTAGAAAATTTAAATATGAGGGTATTATTGACAATTCATCACATTTGATATTAGCATATGACCCTACTATCACTTCAAGGGTGCTGATAGGTTGTATTTTTGCCATTAATTCTATAATTATTTTCCTCTTTTATTATACCGAATATTGTATTAATTGATAGATTCTACTTATATTTGATATTTGGTACTAATTGTAGGAGGGTCGAGCAAAAAGAGATAAAAGATATGATTTTTCAAGAGTTTCCCAATTCAAAATGGAGTCTACGTGGATTATTGGCGGAAAATTACGAGGAAGTCTATTTGATTTCAAAAAGCTAAAAATTAGGAAATGATAGGATGGCCGGCCCGTGTGATTAATATTCGAAGGAAACAGCAATTTCTGGTCTTTTGATTTCCTTTGCACGGATTTGAGGGAGAAAAAGATGGATCCCACGTAATGAGGAGTTTAGTTTCTTTAGGAAGCTAGAAAATAGGAATGAGAAGGAGGGCCGTGACTAGGCCTGTCAACGGCCGTGACATTATTATGTACCTCTCTTGTGGATAGCCTAGCATTAAAATTTTCAATCTTTGTAATCATGTGCCAAACGTGCCTTTTATCTGGCCATTGGGGCAGGGAGTCAGAGACTAGAAGAACCGATTTTAAATGGCAACTTCTATTTGTGCCATTAACAAGAATTGGGCCCTTTTTTTTTTAAGATAAGAATTGAGCCTTATTTAATTTTGTCTGTGAAAATTCAAATTCTCGCCAATATTAAAATTTTTGTTGTGGGTCACCTTCACTCTTTTCGTATACTTATTCTGTGCCCCAAAAACGAAAAAAAAAAAGCCTTTAAAAGGGTGATGTGTATGAATTTTAATACGAACTTCTAGGATTTACAAGGTGTGGTGGGTTAAACTTTGGAGTACCTGAGAACTATTCTGATTTGAGGATTTTGAGAAACCCAATCACTCTGTTTGCCAGATAAATAATTTTAATTAATTTATCCAAATCATTGCCCACCTGCACAACCAATACATTTACCAACTAATTGCAACTTTTCTGGCACACTATCTTTTATATTCTTTTCCAGCTATGGCTCAAAAGTAGTTTTATTATGCATGACATGTATTCAGTAAAGACTCACTATGAAAAGGATTACAGGTCCTTAGGTACCCATAATGGGAATATTGCGAGATATATATTATTACAAATTAAGGGCGATTAATCAGGTGCAGAGAAAAGAAATAAGAAAACAAGGAGTGAGATCCTCTTCTTAGCTTACCAACTTACACTGTTAATTATTTTCTAACAGGTGCCCGTCGCTAAGACACCTGCATTCCTCCCAACCTACCATGTATAAACATACATTAATAATTATTACTTTTTTTCTTTTGTATTTATACATTTTTTCTAATTACTCTTCGTGCATTTATACACTTTTCTAATTAATTTTAGGGTTAATCACATTTTATCCCCTTAAAGAATACCCCATTTCTCAGTTTACCCCCTAACCTTTAATTTTACTCACTTAACCCCCTTTAGGACAAAATTGCCCTTGCATTATTTTGACTTTTCATTTACCTTGTTTTCCTTTCTTTTATTTCTTTTTCTCTTTCTTCTTTATTTAATTCTTCCTCTTTCCCACAAAAATCTTCACCTTAATGATTGAAATTAAAAAAGAGGAATTACAAAGATCTATCTTCTTCTTAAATGATCAAAAAAAATTCAAACCACTTTTCTAAAATACAATTTTTTTAGCCTTTCAATTCTTTTAATTTTGGGTTTTCCTCTTTCCTTTCTAGTTTCTCATTTTATTCTCAAGAAAATATCATAAGATGAAATTGTTTTCCTTTCTTTTATTTCTTTTTCTCTTTCTTCTCTCTATCATCCTTCCCAATAGAAAATTCGATTTCCACAAAAATTTTTTGTTTTGAGTTTGTAATCACATATTTTTGGGCGAAGGTTTAAAAGACATCAAAAACTAATTTTGATTTTTTGTATGATGTCACGTGTCACAAATTTCAATTGATAATTATTAATCAGGTCACAATTTCATCTTAAGATATTTTCTTGGGAATAAAATGAGAAACTAGAAAGGAAAGAGGAAAACCCAAAATTAAAAGAATTGAAAGGCTAAAAAAAATTGTATTTTAGGAAAGTGATTTGAATTTTTTTTAATCATTTAAGGAAAAGATAGATCTCTACAATTTCTCTTTTTTAATTTCAATCATTAAGGTGAAGATTTTTGTGAGAAAAAGGAAGAATTAAATAAAGAAGAAAGAGAAAAAGAAATAAAAGAAAGGAAAATAAGGTAAATGAAAAGTCAAAATAATGCAAGGGCAATTTTGTCCTAAAGGGGGTTAAGTGAACAAAATTAAAGATTAGGGGGTAAACTGAGAAATGGGGTATTCTTTAATGGGATAAAATGTGATTAACCCTTAATTTTATATTCCTAAAAGTATAACACATGAAATACATTTTAACGAGTGCTCGTAAGGCATCAATTATACAAACCTATTATTGCATAGGGTATAATTGCCTAGTCTATCATTTTTTCACTAATAATGACTGATTAAATGCCATTTTTACTTGACGTCCTTATCAGCATGATTTAATTTTTAACTTTTCTTATTTGTAGATGATGAGAGATTATCTGTAAAGGAGTATTATCACCAAAAGATAGAACATAAGAAATGATATAATCCACATAATATGACAAATGCCTAGAACTGCTTGACGATTCAATATAATTCACAAACTTAAGAACATGTTCTTGGTAATGTAATCGCCGAAAGCAATGATCTGTAATTGAGGAAAAGATTAGTCCTTAATTAACTTGAAATAGAAAAGGAATCTCCTTTAACATTTTATTCTGCAACTGCATATTTAAGATTAAGAAGGTCGATATTTATGCGCTAATAAAAGAAAGGAAATTTTTGATTAATTTTATTATGCAGTAAAGACTAAGAAAAGGATTACAGCCCCGTAACCATTCATGAAGCATAATGAGTGATCAAATGCCATTTCTACTTGACCACCATCTAACTAGAAGCTGGGAGAGTTGGGAAACCTACAAATTTCAAAAAGAACAAGCACCTTTAAGACTTCCTTGAACTCTGGGAACTCATGTACTGAAACTTGATCTTTTTCAGCGCAACAAGAACATCCTGTATGCTGCTTCTCTCTCTCGGGGACTCCATCGTGCAGCCCAGAGCCACTTTAATGATTGTGGCTATGCAGCTTAGCTTTTCACCAAAATATTCATCACTTTCCTTTAGCAAATTAGCATCTATGACATGAGCTAATTCATCAGGTATTGAATTAGCCACCCAGCTCTTCAGGCTCAATTTTTCACTAAACATTTCACTGTTGGGATTTGTTCTTGTGAAGACTTCTATTATCATAATTCCAAAACTGTAGATGTCGCATTTTGCTGATACCAATCCTTCCAACCCATACTCTGCAAGACGCATATAAATTCATCATATGTTCGTAAATTGATTGTATTTTTTTTGTTTGGAATTTGCAACAGCAAACAACTGAGGAAATAGTACTTTAGTTGTACGAGAAAATTCTTCACCTGGTGCGAGATAGCCAAGTGTGGCTAGTGTTTCGGTGTATGTGATGCTGTTCTCCTCGCCCAACAACTTTGTAAGGCCAAAATCACTTAGATGGGCAACCATGTCTTGATCCAGCAGCACATTACTTGGCTTCAGATCACAGTGAATTACTGGGGTTGCATATTCGCAGTGGAGATATTGCAATGCACCTGCCACATCAATCAATATGTCCAATCTCTGCATCAGATCCAGAAACTAGTTGTGCGAATACAACCACTTCTCGAGACTTCCTTTAGGCATGAACTCAAGCACTAATGCCTTAAACTCAGGGGTAGAGCAGCTACTAATGACTCTTGTGAGGTTTCGATGGCGAAGATTGCGCAACACCTCACATTCTACGTCAAAACTCTTGAACGCTCCTTCCATTTGTAAATTGAACACCTTAACAGCCACAGCCCTTCCGTCACCAAGAGTGCCTCTATAAACAGATCCAAAGCTTCCAGCCCCCAACAAATTGCTTTCATTGTACCCATTAGTTGCTTGTAGAAGTTCAAAATATGAAATTCTTTCTGGCATTGCAACTAAGGATAAATTGGCTCCATTGGGAAGTTTATCTTTCCTTTGATATCTCAGGTAAACAAATCCAAAGGACAAGGCTCCCACTGCTATTATTACCCCGAGTGAAATAAAAATGGTTCTATGCACTCTTTTTGTTCTTGATCTGTGAGCTGAAATAGTTGGGCATGGAGGCACAAGAAACCTTTGAGCTCCACAGAGGGCCTGATTTGAAGCGAAGGATTCGGCAGTGCAGTTTGTAAATGGCCCTTTGGATGGAATTTCACCACTCAAATTGTTAAAAGAGAGATTGATATATTTAAGATACCGAAGGTTCTCCATTGACATCGGAATTGATCCAGAGAGAAAGTTATGTGATAGATCCAATGACTCTAAGCTGAACACCTTACCAATCGATTCCGGGATTGATCCTTCCAATCTGTTGTGTGCTAAAGAAAGATTTTGCAGGTTCTGCATATCTCCAATTGAGCCAGGAATGCCACCTGAGAACTGATTGGTTGACAAATCTACCCAATTTGCCATCTTCATATTCGTAATACCATACGGCAAAGATCCACTCAGCAGATTTGAGGAGAGGTCAAGCTCCAAGAGATCTTTTAGGTTCCATATTTCCTCAGGTGGAGCAGAATATAGTCTGTTGTGACTTAGGTTGAGATGCCTCAGGGAAGTAAGATTTCCGAAGCACTTTGGAATTGAGGCCATAAATTGATTTTGTCCAAGGTTCATTGTATCCAAGTTGTGGAGAGCACAAAGAAGATGCAGGGGGGCTCTACTAATTAGTTTGTTCATACTGAGATCCATGTATTGAAGCTTTTGCAAATCTTTTATTGTAGCTGGCAATGACCCAGTTAAGTCATTGTTTGATAGATCTAATAGGATCAAACTTCTGAAGTTTCCTATTCCATCAGGAATGCTGCCCTTTATTTTACAATTCGGTGCATTTAGTTGTTGAAGGGAAGTTGAAAGATTACTGAGTGAGTCTGGAATGATCCCATTCAATGGATTGCCACCCAAATCCAATATTGCCAAATATTTGCATTTTGTCAATGAAGTGATGAAGGTCAACTCTGGAGATGAGGAGTCACCCGTTACTTTGTTGCCAGGTAGATTCAGTAGTTCTAGGTGACTTAGGTCACCCAGGGAAGTGGGAATTGGACCTGTGAATTTATTGCTACCAACATCTATTCTACGAAGTATAGAAGAATTTGAGAATGTGTTAGGTAATGCTCCAACAAAGTAATTATCCCCGAGGAGAAGGTGTTCTAAACTGGGAAGCCTATAACCTAATGTTGATGGAAGATTGCCTGAAAGTTGATTTTCCATAAGTGACATGACAGTTAACATTGAGAGGTTGAAGATCTCTGTTGGTACAGAACCAGTCAAGCTGTTGTATTCTAAGATGAGTAGTTTGAGAGAGTTCAAGTTACCAATCTCTCGTGGTATTACACCTGAAAAAATAATAGTGACGTACACGTCAAACCATACAACTCTTGAATTTCTGTAATTTAAAAATTGTCATACCGGATAGGTTGGCATCGTGAAGGGACAGGATAGTCAGCATAGTTAGATTACCAATTTCTTTTGGAATTTCACCTGCAAAAAGTAAATGGAATAACTATCAATAAGTTGACACCTTTGAAGGAAAAATATAAGCGGGAAAACTGATGGACCTAAAGAGGAAATTTTTTGGACTATTGCCCATTTTTGACATTGGCTCCTCTCAGAATCAACAAGATACGTGTAAAGAAAGCACATGCAAAAATTAAAATTTATTCTTCAAAATCTTTTTTAACGATTACGTTGAGCCCTAAGAAAATAAGAATATGTTTTGGCCCTTGACTTTTCCATCAGGACCATATTGTTATATGCTGCATATATTCCTTGTCTTCGTAGCTCTAAGGGGACCAAAATTTCTGACAATCTTAGCTCTTCATGTTTCTTATTTTTGGCCTCTTCAGTCAGAACATGCAAAGATAAGAGTTAAAATTTTTAGATTTGGATCTACACAAACTGTAGATTAGAATAATGCATAATTTTACTCTGTCCGTATATGATTGAAAGAAATAGGATCTTACCTTCTAAATGGTGGAATGCACCCAAATATAGCTCCTCAAGCTTCTTCAGTTCTCCAATTTCTTTCGGTATTGATCCTCGAAATTTGTTGTACGAGAAATCCAGCACCCGAAGTTCTGAACATTGAGCTAAACTTGATGGTAATTGACCATTTAATTTGTTCTCTGTTAGGCTAAGGAAACTTAGCCCCTGAAGACGGTGACACATGTCACTAGGAACACTTCCAGAGAGGCTGTTAGCCCCAAGGGCAATCTTTTCCAACGAGGAAATGTTAAAAATCCCCGTAGGAATATTTCCTTGAAGAGAGTTTTCATCAAGATATAAAGTTGCTAGCTTTGACATGTTAGAGATGGAAGATGGGATAAGACCAGTGAAACTATTTTCGTCAAGATGTAAGTGATGAAGTTGAGAAAATGACCCAATCCACGGGGGTAACTCTCCATTGAGATCGTTGATGCCCAAATCAAGTACTTTCAATCGGCGCAAATGAGCAATTTCACGTGGTATTTCTCCATGGAAATTGTTTCTACTCATGTCAAGAGAAAGAAGAAATGATAAATTTCCCAGTTGTGGAGGTAAAGTACCGGTAAGATTCATTTTTGAAATATTTAAGGCAGTCACTCTTTGATGCCGAGAGCCGCAGGTCACTCCAATCCAGTCACAGACAGAAGAGCTAACTGACCAGTTTTTTGCCAAGATTTGGCGAGGCTCTATAGTGTGTGCTCGCAAAGTAAGAAGAGCTGATTTATCAATGGTAATATTGGTCATGGACGACATAGCTAAGGAAGCTGAAAGAAAACATAGCAACAAATGTCCAAGTGGGGAGTGGTGTTGAAATTTCTCCATGACTAATGTTTGCTACATGAAGGACCGGGGAGGGATTATATGGGGTCTCAGTAATATGGATTTGCAAAACTGATTCTTATTTATAAAAATGATTAAATTTCAACTGACCACATTGTCAGCGATGCATAGTCATGCTGATCAGAATTCTTTTGACAAGTATTCCAGGACCTAGTCAATCTTATTATCTCTCGGTTATGAATATACATATGTGACCATTTGTTTCATGCAAAGACATAAAAACTATAATTTTACCGAAGGTACCAGAAAAGAGTCTGCGATAAAGTTTCTATGTGGTTTTTTTTTTTTTTTTGTAAGTAGCATTACATAAGCCCATAAAAAAATTTACTTCTGTATTCAAATAAAATGATTTTCTCATGTCGAAGTCTAACTGTACTGCAGGAAACACCGGTAAAACCCTAAGTTGCAGAGTGCAACTCAAGTACTTTAGTTTGAATGATTCTGGTGTTTATTTTGCTTTTCTTTCCCCTTAAAGGGAAAGCATTCAAATATGATGTTTATTATTTAATACCATCACTTTACAGACGTCTCTTTCTCTATTTTTGCTAGTTTAGAGTTTGCACGGCCATAAGGGTCATTTGGATTGAGGAACTTGGATGGGTTTGATTTGAAATCTCTACTCAAATCACCTGTTGTTCGAGTTGCTTAGCAAGCATTTGGACTTAAAATTCATCTATCAATCAGAGGAATTTAAAACTTACGAATTATTGATTTAAAATAACCCAAATTTAATGTCATTTGAAGTCTTTCACCGCGCCGGCAAAATTCTTTTGAGGTTTCTTCATCGATTGAGCAACAAACGAACAACCAGAAATATAGGGTGGCACCACCATCAAATATTGTTAGTGAAGGTGTCGGAAATCACTTAGAATCTTTAGTCTCGAAATTATCTTCTATCTCGTCTGTCCCATGCTTATATAGCTGCGACGTATGTTGATACATTGATAATTCAAGAAAACCTTTGACTCGTTGATCGTATTTGTTATCAGTTTGGTTGAATTATCAATACATCAACAAATGGGATAGAAAATAATTTCAGGACAGAGATTTTGAAACAGTCGGAAATAAAGTACATTATTGAAGGTTCAATGTTCCTTCCACTCAAAAGGTCGGTGTAACTGGAGGATCCTCCTCAAGTTCGTGTCCAAGAGAGGAAACTAATGCAACGTTAATCTCGGGAGACTTCAAATGTGTGAAGGAGAAAGCATGAATACGAAATTCAGCAGTTAAAGGAATATATTTGCAAAAGTATTTAAATGGAAAACGGTAACCCTATATTAAACAAATATCTTTAAAGGCATCAAATAACACCAAAGGCGTTTGAGCCCAGCAGTGAAAGCATAGAGTTTGAGTTTTTGACATCAGAGGCAGCGGCAGGGCTTTATTGTCCTCGCCTGAATGAGTAATCTATGTTATTTTTCAAAAACAATGGCGAAAGTTGCTTTTATAGTTCAAGAGTCATTAATAAAGAATTAGTGAGTACATTAAGAAACAAAGAAAAATAAACTTGGAAATTTGGCAAATCTTTGATGCAAATTAGTTTGCCAAAAAAGAATTTCATGGAACGGGTATTGGGAATTGCAGAATCATTGCAATTCAACCAAGGCATCTTTTCTTAGCCTTGGTGGGAAGCTTAGTAGAATCTAAAGACCAATAATCAAAACTAATTTGCCCAAGTTCAAGGATTAATCAAAATGATGAGTTAACATTTGGAAGTGAAGCATAAGAAAAAGGCAGAAGGTTTCTAAGTTGAGCAAATTTTGGAAAGCAGAGAATTTCTAACAAAAAAGAAGAACTATCAAGTAGTAGTCATGACTCGGGATTGAAACTCTTCAGGGACAGAGTCGCTGTCTTTCATTTGATAAATGTTCGCGCTGAGCGGGAACACTGGAAAAATTCCTCCAAGATTCAGCCTTGTTTGGACTGTAATTTTCTGCAGAAAAATTTTTACATTTTTCATGAACACAGTTTTTGCATTTGATAATGTCATTCGTGGTAGTAGTGCAATATAATTAGTCAACGACATAATATATATGACAAATACCAATCCTAACATGAATTCTACAAATTAATGCGGATGCTTTGAACAAGGAAATAAGTGTGGTTTTTTCTGCAATCAAGGACAAGGCCTTCATTCTTTAATGTTCGAGCGCATGGGCAGACTGGAGAAACACCTCCAAGAAACTATAGTAGATGTTCCTCAACTCTTTGGCCAGAAAATTTGTGATGCTGTGTCGCTTTGTCCCAGTCGTGCTGCAAACGCTGGAGAATTAAGGATGCCTTAGTCCCGGAAGCAGGGCACTGACAATCGTCCAGAACAATGGAAAAATTCCTCCAAAATTCCACACTAGACTCTGGTGGGGTGATCAAAAATACATTTGGATTCTGATTTTTAGTAGGAAGATTTTTACGTTTTCTATGAATATATTTTTCAATCATTGTTTTAACTCATATATATGAAATCGTTATAACACATTTTTCTATAAAAATTCCTAAAAATAGCAATCCAAACAAAAAGAAACAAAATTGATTGTTCCTCAACTATTCTGAATGATGACTTTGGACAGAAAATTTATGATATAGAATCTCAATGTGCAGGAAATGCTAGAAAATTAAAAGGATGTCTCAGCCCCACATATGCAAGAATGATGGGATTCATGGTTAATAACGTTGGTGAGATTCACAAAATTAGGGAACCAGAAAGCAAGTAACATCAATACTACCGAGCAATAGACATGACTTCTACTCATCTACATTAATTTTGCAATTAATAGATGAGAGATAGGTCTGGAAATTATACAAGTAGCATCTTCTATGAATTTGGAAAACCTGCAAGTTCTCAGGATTTTGCTCTTGTTTTCTTTATGGGCTGTAAAAGTTGTATTCGTATGGCTATTCAAACAAGTACTTATCATTTGAAGTTGTTTTCTCAGAGGTAGAAATGTCTATAGGCTACCATAGTTAGGAGTTCATTTAGTTACAGATTATTTTTTTCTTTTTTTGGAGATAGATTACATTTTACCTTTCTATGGTTTGAAACTTTATCACATATCTACACTATGGTTTAGAGATATATGCACAAGTCTCTCATGATTTAAAGACTTACTCCACTTTGTGGCATGTTTGGATTGGTGGCCAAACTTGAGCCTTCTTCAAATGGGCCTAACATACAGTTCAGTGACGTTGTGCTTACATAGCTTTTGTATATGGCAATTAACAGTTAACTTTGGTTGCTAAGAGCCTTTTCCATTTTTGTTGACAGAACTAAAAGCAAAAGATAGCTATTAATTTTAGGTAGATGATGGTAAAGTTAAGATCAATTTTTGGTTGATACAGTTTTTCATGTTATTCTGTTGTACCTATTAACTCTGTGCTTACAGACACAACTTCTACGCAGAGAATTTGCCATACTAAAGTAAATTAACCGTGACATTAGCAAAAGGTTGTTTCTATAGTTCAAGAGTCATAGATAAAGAATTAGTTAGTACTTCAAGCAGCAAAGAAAAGTAAACCTGGAACAGGGACGAAAATGGGGGGTTAGGATTCACCACTCCAAAGTCTTGAAAATTTAAATGTTTTTCTCACTTTGAAATTTGGAAAGATTTTAAACCCTTTTGTTTTTCTTCCTTAGAAACTTTCATGTTGATTTGAATATTATAAATATGTGAAGTTCGACTTTGCAAAATAATTTTTTTTTATCCCATCGATGATTTGGAAGTTCTGAAAATTCTGTAATGCAAATTAATCAGCGAAAAAAATCTCATGATCAAACGGGTGTTGGGATTTGCAAATTCATTGCAATTCAAGGCATCTTCTATTAGCAATGGCGGGAATTTTAGTAGGATCTAAGGGCCAGTCAAAACTAAATTGCCAAGGTTGAAAAATGATCCAAATTGATGAGTTTTAACATTTTGAAGTTGAACAGGATACAACCAAAAGGCCTCCAGGTAAATTTCTGAGTTGAGCAGTCGTGAAGAGTACATAATTTCTAACAAAAAGGAGGAACTAATAAGTAATGCACATGATTGAAACTTTTCGAGGACAAAGTTATTTGTCACCTTCAAATACTAAAAGTCTTGGTAATTATGCAAGAAACTAAAGTGATTGTTCCTTGTCTATTTTGAACGATGACTTTGTATAGAAATTTGTGATATAGAACTTCATCTCATCGTGCAGGAAATGCTAGAAAATCAACGACGCCTCAGCCCCACAAATGGAAGAATAATCGAATTTGTGGTTAATAAAGTTGGTGCTATCACGAAAGAAAAAGTCAGTACAATCAATACTACCGAACAACGGGACTGGACTTCTACTCATCCACGTCAATTTGCAATTAATAGATGAGAGATATGTCTACAAATCATCTTAATTGAAGAAGTAACCAACTCCCAACAGAGATATGTCTGCAAGTCATTTGTCACCTTCAAAAACTAAGTTTTGGTCATTATGCAAGAAGCTAAAGTGATTGTTCTTTGGCCATTCTAAACGATGACTTTGTATAGAAATTTGTAATGTAGAATTTCATCTTATCGTGCATGAAATGCTAGAAAATCAATGATGCTTCAGCCCCACAAGTGCAAGGATAATTGGATTCGGAGTTAATAAGTTGATATCACGAAAGAAAAAACCAATTCCATCTATATAATTTAATTTATCATGTAAATGTAAAACATCACAATTACTGCACTTCCTATATTTAAAATTTTTTTGAGACTAATCACACATGTCCAAAAAAATTAATATCTAAGATTACTCTTAACGAGTGCCTATTGTGCACTCATGAGGCAAACCGTATATTAATTTGAAAAATTTGCAATTACTAAGTATTTTGCTCTTATTTCCTTTTTGGTCAGTAAAAATTGTTTCTTTAAAACTATTCAAACAGAACCCTAATAGTAGAACTACTGTTACAT